CAGCTGTTTTTGTAGGCCAGCTGCTGCTGAATTTTTTTGGATGCTAAGATTACATCACACTCACGTAAAATAACACCCAGGCTCTCTGCTGCTACAATCAGTGGATGTACATCTGGTGTAAAAGAAGGCGTTGATCAGAAATCACGTTTTATTCCACGAAAATCAGCCAAATCCACATTAATCTGGGTGCTAACTTTACTAGCATACTGTGCTAGCGATAGCAAGCCGGATGCTAACGCTTTAGTGCTGCTAATGCCCGTAAATCTAAAGTAAAGTTTGTCGACATTTTAGAGAGATATGAAGCTTACCGCTCTGCTGCTGTGTCCCGGTGCTGCCACATTCAGATGGAAATTACTCCTTTTAGATAGATGAAGCCCTCAGTACTTACTAGCCAGGAGACACGAACGAACCGCGCGCGCACACACACACACACACACACACACACACACACACACACACACACACACACACTACTTTTTCTTCTGTTTTTTTTTTTTTAGCAGTAGTGTCATCAGCTCCTGGGTTTAAATACTGCCACACCACCCTTCCTTAAAACGAGGAACAGTTTTGAGCTGTGTGTGGCTAAAATAACAAGACATTCTGCATTTCTCCAATAGGACTACAAAAAATCTTAGCGAGATGAAAAAATGGCGGATTGGCTCTGTGTTTAGCCGAGGGCCATTACCATATTTGGTAGTTATCCTGACGAAATAAATTAGATAGATAATTTGAAAAACTGAACGGGTGGACAAATATGCCCAAAACTTAATTATTAAATATCTAAATAGCAACTCCAGTGAATAATATAAGCCTTTTTGCTCACTTAGACACTTAAAATGTGAAACACACTGTGTTAACGGATAAAAAAGTGGGTTTTTCATGTTATGTCTCCTTTAAGGAATGGTGGGACAAAGAAAATACTATACCCTGAATACTTTACTGATAATCAAAGTGATATTTATGATGAAGTAAAAGTGGTTAATAGAATGAGTGAATATTTTGTAAATGTAGGCCCAGAGCTAGCAGCAAATATACCAAGCCAAAAAAGACAGACAATAAGTGAACCATTGATAATAAACAAACTACCCCGACTCAATCTTCCTCTCAGCAGTGGATGAGTTGGAAGTTTAATCAGTTGTTGATAAATGTAACCACAAAGTCTCCACTGATTGTGACGGTATTGATATGGTGTTGGTTAAAAGAGTTATTGATGGTATTCTAAAACCATTAACTTATATATATAACTTATCCTTCCAAACTGGTTTATTTCCTCAGAAAATGAAAGTAGCTAAATACCAATTTTTAAGCAAGGGGAAAAACATCTATTTAACAACTACAGGCCAGTATCACTTCTTCTCAATTTTCAAAAATCCTGGAAAAACTATTTAATATCAGACAAGAAAACTTTTTAAATAAACACGAAATACTAAACCATAGTCAATACAGATTTTGAGAAAAGAGGACAACAGCTCTTTCAATGATGGAAGCAACCAATGAAATTATTAGTACATTAGATAAAGGTAAATATGCTATTGGAGTATTTATAGATTTTAGGAAAGCTTTTGATACAATAAATCACTCAGTTCTCATAAACAAGCTTCAACAGTACGGCATTAGGGGAATGGCACTGGACTGGATCACCAATTATTTATCTAAGAGACAAAAATTTGTGAAAATGAATGATGTCACTTCTGAAAGTATGGGGATTGCCTGTGGTGTCCCCCAGGGGTCAGTATTAGGACCTGCTCTATTTAATATATATATAAATGACATTTTTCAAGTCTGCAAAACTCTGAAGATGAACTTAATTGCTGATGATACATATTTTTTCTCACTGGAAATGATCTCAATGAAATAATTATTATTAATAAAGAATTAAGTAAACTAAAAAAAATGGATGAATAATAATACATTATCATTGAATACAGAAAAAACTAAGGCATTTGGCAATTGTAAAAACAAAACAGATGTATAAAGATTGATGATGAAAAAAAATGGAGAATGTTAATGAAATCAAATTTTTGGGTGTGATACTCGATAAACTCAGTTGGAAGCCCCACATTAGACACATGCAAACCAAAGCAGCAAAAAACATTGCAATTATAAATAAAATGAAGCAACTGCTGGACTGTAATTCACTCCATATTCCGTATTGTTCATTAGTTCTGCCATATTTCACTTACTGTATAGAGCTTTGGGGAAACAACTATAAAAATGCACTACACCCACTATCAGTATTGCAAAAGAGGGTAATATGTGTCATTCATAAAGTTGGGTATCTGGATCATACAAATTCTTTGTTTTTACAGTCAAAATACTTTTAACTTCAAGACCTGGTTCATTATCAAACAGCTCAAATCATGTTTAAAGCTAGTAAGCACTTATTACCACCTAATATTCAAAAGCTCTTCAACCAGAGTGATGAGGGATATAATTTAGGAAGGATTAAAAATTTTAAAATGCCTAGGGTAAGAACCACTAAAAGGAGTTTCTGTGTATCAGTATGTGGTGTGAAACTGTGGAATGGGCTGCAGGAAATACTCAAACAGTGTCCAAATATAAACAAATTTAAATCACTGCATAAAAAAATGATAATGGATATGAAAATGAGGTTCTCTGAGGTTCTGGAAACTATGATATTGCCATTATTATTTTGAGGCTGTTTATGTTATTATTGTCATTTTTATTATTAAGTTATTATTGTCATTATTATTATCATTACTATCACTAGTACCATAAAATGTTAATGCAAAATGATATCATTAGTAGCTGCATATATATATTAATATGAATGTATGTATAGATGGTAAATTGTAAAGTAAATTAGTAATGTGAGACAAGGGGGTGGGATTGAATAAGCACTTACTTCTTCTTACTCCCTTTAGACAAATACTTCTTTTTTTATTGGTATATATTTTCTTTTCTACTATGTTCATTGATTTTTTTTTAAATATTTTGGCTTATTTTCAAATAAACCTTTTTAATCAATCAATCAATTACACACACACACACACACACACACACACACACACATCTGTGTGTGTATTAAAGGTGGGAAAAATTATTGATTCTAAGATGCATCGCGATTCAGCCGTGCATGATACCGCGTCGACGCAGCAACGTGACATGAGATTCTCTCCCTATGTCTATGTCGGGGGTCGGCAACCCGCGGCTCTGGAGCCGCATGCGGCTTTTCCATCCATCTGATGCGGCTCTCTGTGCTTGTAAAATAATGGATATTTAAATAAAAAGCTTTATATTTTACTGCATTAATTTTACATCTGTAAGCTAATTCCAAATGTAAAGATTGTCTGCATAAACCTGAACAGTTCCAACCCGGTCTTACTGAGAGACCGGGTTGACGCGTCACGCTTGTGCGTAATCATAGGTGCTTTATGAGCTGAAGAGGATGTGAGATTCTGGGATTCTCCTCAGACGGCTCCTGGATGTGTCGCCACATTGGAGACAGGAACAAGCGCTATTCAGCCAAAGTTTCATAATCAGGGAACATTTTCTAAGTAACACGTCGTTCTGAAAGAAAGGGTTTGGAAAACACTCGCTTCAGTCCGAGGAATCTTCCCGCATGCGCTCTGGTTCTGCGACGCGCTCCAAGCCCCTCTCCACATCTTCTGCTCGCTGTGGACCTTATGTAGTACACGCTGACAGTGAGCTGCGCTGAGCAGTGTCCAGCTCAGATCTTCAGATGGGAATCATTTCTTGAGTGATTTAGCTACATCTGCGATGAGCTTAGAATAAAATGTCAATTCGTCTATTCTTTCTCCGTCAAAATAAACTGTCAAATACGGGAACTATCCGGTCAACACAAGCCCTGCTTTTAACTGTTCTGTTTTCTTGTGAAAATTGTTGCAAAGAGATATGATTTAACTTGATTAACACCAGAGCCAGGCGCACTGCACCGTTGTCTCTGTCACTGTAAACGAGGGAAAAACAAATTGATCGGATCCTTTTCTGACCTTCCCCACCTACAAAGTTTAACTACAACAATCAAACGTGACAGAGCCTGGATTTGTATTCTGAACAGTCTAAACATGTTTTAAAAAGAAACGTTTGACAAAAGTGGCACCTGCTCAGTAAAACCACCAACAGGGTGAAAAATATCAAAATACTGTAGGCAGAGACGGGCTACAACTTCTGCATCCACCTTATGTAAATCGTTTTATTGATTATCGTCTAATGAAAGATAACTTTGACGTACACGAGCGATCGGTACTGGCTGCTGTCACCTGTTGTGGGCAGCGCTCTGCTGTCTGAGGGTAGGCCCCGCCCACAACGCCGCGGCTGCTGCGGTGTTTTCTTTACTGTGGGAAACGGGTAATAATGGCTCTTTGATGGGAACAGGTTGCCGACCCCTGGTCTATGTCTATGCGAAGACAATAAAGTTTTGAGGTTTTACAACTAATTCTGGGGGCAGAGTTGCAATGGCATGCGCACTGCGTTGCCCTAGCGCCAATTTAAAACAGAAAAGGCGGACAGGGATACAGGGCCAACATTACCAGTAATCAAAGATGTACCCGTTACATTTAAATCGGATGTCTGGGCTAATTTCGGTTTTGGGATCCTGGATGTGAAAGAATCACCTAACACAGTATTTGTTTACAATTTTTAAGTTCAGTAATGTTCTATCTTAAAGCTGCTCTACCGAAAACATTATTTCTTATATTATTTAAGTAATTATAGGCAGCACACTTTAAAAATTATTGCTCACTATAGTGGATAGATGAATGTTCTGTTTTTCAGGGGTTTCAAAATCAAAAAGAAATTGAAAACTATTCTACTGCTTTTATTAAGTAATGAAATTTTTTGTGTGAAGAATCGTGATGCATTTCAGACTCAAATCGCATCTTTAGGCAGATAATCGGAATCGGATCGAATCGTGAGGCAGGTAGAGATGCACACCACTAGTGTGTATGTGTGTGTATATATATATATATATATATCTCCCACTCCCCTGCTCTTACAGATCGGATTTTTTCCGTCAATCACACTTTCAAAAGAATTCATTATGTCGTGTGTGAACTCTTAATGTGACAGTTTAACTCGGTCTCGTCTCTAAATCTTTGACCACAGAGCCCACAGACAAAAGGTTTATCTCCTGTGTGGACTCTCATGTGATAGTTTAAAGCTGTCTTATAGCCATATCTTTTACCACAGAGCCCACAGGCAAAAGGTTTTTCTCCTGTGTGGACTCTCATGTGATAGTTTAAAGCTTTCTTACAGCCATATCTTTTACCACAGAGCCCACAGGCAAAAGGTTTTTCTCCTGTGTGGACTCTCATGTGATAGTTTAAAGCTGGCTTACTAATAAATCTTTTACCACAGAGCCCACAGACAAAAGGTTTTTCTCCTGTGTGGACTCTCATGTGATAGTTTAAAGCTGGCTTACTAATAAATCTTTTACCACAGAGCTCACAGACAAAAGGTTTATCTCTTATGTGGACTCTCATGTGACTGTTTAAATGTGGCTTACTGCTGAATCTTTTACCACAGAGCTCACAGACAAAAGGTTTTTCTCCTGTGTGGACTCTCATGTGAACGTTAAAATCTTTTTGGTGACCAAATCTTTTACCACAGAGCTCACAGGCAAAAGGTTTATCTCCTGTGTGGACTCTCATGTGACTGTTTAAATTTCCCTTTTGGCTAAAACTTTGACCACAGAGCTCACACACAAAAGGTTTTTCTCCTGTGTGGACTCTCATGTGACTGTTTAAATGTGCCTTACTTCTAAATCTTTTTCCACAGAGCTCACAGGCAAAAGGTTTTTCTCCTGTGTGGACACTCATGTGACTGTTTAAATGTGCCTTACTTCTAAATCTTTTTCCACAGAGCTCACAGGCAAAAGGTTTTTCTCCTGTGTGGACTCTCATATGACTGTTTAAATGTGCCTTACTGCTAAATCTTTTACCACAGAGCTCACAGGCAAAAGGTTTTTCTCCTGTGTGGACACTCATGTGACTGTTTAAACTTTTTTGGTGACCAAATCTTTTACCACAGAGCTCACAGGCAAAAGGTTTTTCTCCTGTGTGGACTCTCATGTGAACGTTTAAATGAAACATTGAACTAAATCTTTTACCACAGTCATCACAACTAAATGATTTTAGTTTTTTCTGGACTCTCTTGCATGAGTCTACATGTTGCTTCACTCCAACACATTGCTTTTTGACCAAACAACTTGAAGACCTTATTGCTGAATGACCTGACACTCTCACATGTTTCTGGTGAGACCTCTTGTGGACAAATTGTTTACCACACTCAGGGCAGCTAAAGGACTTGTTGACAGTCCTAACATGTGAATCAGAAGACCTGCTTTCATTCCAGTCACTGTCTTCTTCTCCAGTTTCAGACCCAGAGTCTGACAGCTCAGAGTCTAGATTCACATCATCACCCTCTTCATCATCTCCACTCATTTCAGTTTCTGAAGAATCAGACGTCTGTTCATGAGGGTTCAGATCTTGGTTCCTGCTAGTTTCTGCTGTCATCTGGTGAGCTGAGCTGCTGGTTGGAACTTCTTTGTCTTCTACTTGCTGCTGATGAAGCTTTGAGAACAGAGGTTTCTCTTCATCATCCTCACTCTTTATAGAAGCCAATGTGAATGGAAACCTGGCAGCATCAGTTTTCTCCTCCAAAAAGAGTTGCTCTCCCTCCAGACTGGTCCACTTTTCTTCCTGTTCCTCCTTCATGTGGAGGTGTTCTGGGTCTTTCTGGTCCTCACCTGCACTCTGTTCCTCAGGAGCTTCTTCTTTAACCAGCACCAGCTGTTGAACATCTGTAGGAAACAGAAACATGATGTGAATTACCGATCGATGGAACTTTACATTCACACTTACTCTCACCTAAAGGATTACTAAGAACACTTGTTCAACTTCTCCTTAATGCAATTATCTAATCAACCAATCACATGGCAGTTGCATCAATGCATTTAGGGGCGTGGTCCTGAACTCCAAACTGAAGGTCAGAACGGGAAAGAAAGGTGATTTAAGCTATTTTGAGCGTGGCATGGTTGTTGGTGCCAGACGTGCCGGTCTGAGTATTTCACAATCTGCTCAGTTACTGGGATTTTCACCCACAACCATTTCTAGGGTTTACAAAGAATGGTGTGAAAAGGGAAAAACATCCAGTATGTGGCAGTCCTGTGGGCCAAATGCCTTGTTGATGCTAGAGGTCAGAGGAGAATGGGCCGACTGATTCAAGCTGATAGAAGAGCAACTTTGACTGAAATAACCACTCGTTACAACCGAGGAACACAGCAAAGCATTTGTGAAGCCACAACACGCACAACCTTGAGGCGGATGGGCTACAACAGCTGAAGACCCCACCAGGTACCACTCACCTCCACTACAAATAGGAAAAAGAGGCTACAATTTGCACCAGCTCAACAAAACTGGACAGTTGAAGACTGGAAAAATGTTGCCTGGTCTGATGAGTCTCCATTTCTGTTGAGAGATTTAAACGGTAGAGTCAGAATTTGGTGTAAACAGAATGAGAACATAGATCCATCATGCCTTGTTACCACTGTGCAGTAGAGGTGCGAATCTTCACTTGTCTCCCGATTCAATTTGATTACGATTATTAGGTCAATGATTCAATTTGATTCGATATCCCGATGCATCACGATGATTTCATATTGATTTGTTTTCATCGATAAATAGAAGATGTCAGATAACTGCTTTTTATTTTTTTATCAAAAACGTAATTGACACAACCTGCCATCCCTCAAAAGCTCTCCATTCACAACAGGTCAGGACAAAACATTTTCAACATTGTTGTGAATTATTATAAGAGCAGGGGGGGTTATATTAATGCTAGTAACAAATAGAAATGACTATTATGTTAGTTCATGGAAATGTTGAGTTTGAATGTTCACCAAGGACATATTTAATTTGATTATTTAGTGATATGAGACAGTATTTCTGATTTGAAATTAGTTAAGAGGCTCAGTATTGTGTAATCTTTAAAACTTCATTACCCATGAGACTTGGCGTGTTCCCAGAAGGCTTAACGAGAAAAACCAGGAAGTAGAGAAAAAACTGGCGCTAAGAGCAGACATGTGACTTTCAGGTAAGGTGTTCTAATTCACTAAAGTTTGAGTTCAGCAAGACAAAGTCTCGTCTCATTCTTTATTTTGAAGAAGCTCGGTTGAGCTACAATATTTTTTGGTGCCGAATCACGGGATAAAGATGACTGAAGGTGAAGATAGAGACCTCGAAGGGAGACTGGATACAGGAGGACGCATTGAAAAGGTGAAACGTAAACGACGGACAATTCAGAGTTCCACAACGAGACTATTAAACCAGATCGATGCGGAAATGTTAAAGGATGATCCGGATTTAAGCAGGACATGCTGGCAGTTTTAACAGCAAAGGAGGACAGCCTACAAGAGCTGGATCGCGAGTTGGAGGATTCCACTTCACTGGAGGATATGGAGGCAGAAGTTGAACTCTCGGAGGAGTAAAAGGATCGCATTATCGGAACGAAAACCCGAGTACACCGCATTCTGAGGGCACGGGAACCTGTGAGTAATGACAACCGGCCGCCGTTTCGTGTGAGTGACGTCAGTGCAAATTCCGCTGTGTCCCAGCAGAGCAACCCTTCAGTTAAACTGCCTAAGCTAGTGATAGAGAAGTTTAATGGTGATGAGTCACGTGCGACCGCAGACCATGATGGCCGCCTAGAGCAGGACCTCCTGACGGGTCAGCCACTTTCCCCTGTATTTTCATGATTGGGACTTTACTTTCTATGAGGTTAAAGTGATCTACCATTGATGATAGGATCCTAGAGCGTGTAAGAGAAAAGTGTGAAAAAATGTCTACTGTGAATCCGAAAACGAGATCGGCAAAACAGGCGGCTAGTATGGTAGCCGCTAGTAGCAACAAGCTAGCCGGCATTAACGACAGCGAGGACGCTACACAGAGTCATGAGGCCGGCTTGTCGAACCCGGTGGCAGTGAATGCAATGACGGAGCTGCAGTCTACGTTGGAAAAGGCTATGCGGGAAATGGCTCAAGTGAGCAGCATTCTGCAGGATCTACAGGCAGACGTTTCACAAGTGAAAGCATCACAGGCTAAAATGGAAACAGAAGTTATTAGCCTTGGTGAAAAGCTGGAGGAAGCGGATGCACGGATTATGGATTTGGAAAAGGAGAATGAGAGGCTGGCTAAGGAAGCCAGAGAGAGAGCACGTCAGCAGAAGAGCTTCGGAGAGTTGTCCAGGACATGGAGAACAGGGACAGAAGATTAAATCTTCGCCTGGTGGGAGTTAAGGAGCGCGCTGAAAATGGCAAACCAAGAGAGATTGTGAGAATTATTATTGCTGAAGCGTTGGGCATTGATCTGCACGACAGGGAGCTGCAGCGGGCGCACCGCACCCCGGGCCCGTTATCGAACGACGGGCAACCACCACGGCAGCTTATTGTACGTTTTCATAACTATCTTGAAAAGGAGAGGGTGCTCATGGCTGCTAGGCAGCGTTTTAATAATAATAATAATAATAATAATAATACATTTTATTTAAAAGCGCCTTTCAGGACACCCAAGGTCACTTTACACAAAACACGTAATGAAATACAATAAAACAATAATAAAACCCAAAGAAGAAAAAACAAAGAGAGAAACAGTTCAATAAAATCAGAGGTTGTAGGCAGATTTAAACATATGTGTTTTGAGTTTTGTTTTGAAAAGGGTAAAACTGTCGACGTTCCTGATGTCTGGGGGAAGTGAGTTCCAGAGTCGAGGAGCAGAGCGGCTGAAAGCTCTGCTCCCCATGGTAGCGAGACGGGCAGAAGGAACTGCAAGATGGATGGAAGAAGAAGATCTGAGTGAACGGGACGGGGTGTGAATACTTATAAGGTCTGAGATATGTGGAGGAGAGAGGTTGTGGATTGCTTTGAAGGTATGAAGGAGAATTTTGAAGATGGACCTGAATTTAACTGGGAGCCAGTGAAGCTGCTGGAGAACCGGCGTGATGTGGTGAAAGGAAGGGGTTTTGGTGATAATACGGGCTGCTGAATTCTGGACCAGTTGCAGTTTATGAAGGAGTTTGTTGGGGAGACCATAAAGAAGTGAATTGCAATAGTCGATAAGGGAGGTGACGAGGCTGTGGACGAGAATGGCGGCAGTGTGAGGGGTCAGTGAGGGACGGAGACGGTTTATGGAACGTAGATGGAAGTATGCTGACCGAATTAAGTTATTAATGTGAGCCTGAAAAGAAAGTGAGCTGTCGAGAATGACACCCAGACTCTTGACGTGAGGTGAGGGGGAGACTATGGCGCTGTCAATAGTTAAAGAAAAGCTGTCAGATGTTGAGAGGGTGGAGTTAGTTCCAACTAGAAGAAGTTCAGTTTTATTGCCGTAGAGTTTGAGGAAATTAGAGGTGAACCATGATTTGATTTCAGAGAGGCAGAGTGTAAGGGAGGATGGTGGGAGAGTTGTGTTGGGCTTACTGGAAATGTAGAGCTGGGTGTCATCTGCAAAGCAGTGAAACTGGATATTGAATTTGCGGAAGATTTTGCCGATAGGGAGGAGATATACTATGAAGAGGAGGGGCCCCAGGACAGAGCCCTGGGGCACACCTGACTTGACTGGGGAGGGTTCTGAGGTAAAGGATTTTAACTGGATGAACTGAGTGCGGCCAGTAAGGTAAGATTGAAACCAGCGGAGGGGGGTGTGAGTGATGCCTAAGGAAGAGAGTCTATTAAGGAGGATGGGATGAGAAATGGTGTCAAAGGCCGCACTCAGATCGAGGAGAATGAGAATAGAGATTAAACCAGAGTCAGCAGCAATGAGTAGGTCGTTAGTGATCTTGATGAGAGCTGTTTCTGTGCTGTGGTGGGGACGGAAGCCAGACTGAAACTGTTCATAAAGGTTATTGCGGGTGAGATGTGAATGGAGCTGAGATGCAACAGTTTTCTCAAGGACTTTGGAAATGAAGGGAAGATGGGAAATGGGACGGAGGTTATTGAAATCATTGGGATCTAAACCAGGTTTTTTTAGAATAGGGCTGACTGAAGCGGATTTGAATAGGGATGGGACCGTACCAGAGGATAGTGATGAATGAATAATGGCTGTTATAAAAGGGAGCAGAGAAGAAAGGCACGATTTAACTAAAATAGTTGGAATAGGGTCAAGTTGACAGGTGGAAGGTTTGGATTTGGTGATGTAATCTACTAGTTCTGTGGGATGGGGAAGTTCAAAGGAGGAGAACTGAATGGTGGGTTCAAATAAATCAGGAGAGGGAGCGGAGGAATGAGGTAAAGAGAGATGGATTCTATTGACCTTATCATTAAAAAACTGAAGGAGAGAGTTACAGGTTTCTGAAGAGTAAAGATGGATGGGTAAGGAGTCGGGAGGCTGAAAAATGCTGTTCATGATGGAAAATAATGTTTTAGTGTTGCTGGAGTTGGACGAGATGAGACCGGAGTAATACTGAGATTTGGCATGGGAGATGGAGTCCTTGTAGAGAGAAATCTGAGCAGAATATAAGTCTTTATGGATGGTGAGACCGGTTTTCTTGTAGTCTTTCAAGCCTCCGGTTGGTAGCTTTCAAGGAGCGTAGGGCAGGGGTGAACCATGGAGCAGACCGAGTAAAATATACAGAGCGGGATTTGATGGGAGCAAATGAATTAAGGATAGAAACCAGGCCGTTATTGTACTGAATGACAAGATCATCGGGAGTAGAGGACAAATTAGGGGTCAAGGTGGCAAAACTGGAGGACAGTGAGGCTTGATCAATGTCCTTAATATTACGAAAAGAAATTATACGTGGTGACTT